TCTATAGTTTTCTTTTTTGGTTGTATCTTTATCTGGCTTTGGTATTAGAGTGATGCTGGCTTCATAGAAGGAATTTGGATGTTCTCCCTCCATTTCTATTTTTTTGAGTAAATTAAGTAGTACTGGATGTAGATCTTCTTTAAATGTCAGATAGAATTCTGCTGTAATTCCATCTGGTTCTGGACTTTTTTTAGTCAGAAGGTTTTATATTAGTGTTTCAATTTCTTTTTGTGTTATGGGTCTGTTTAAGCTGTTAATCTCTTCTTGGTTTAGTTTTGGTGGTTCCCATGCCTTTAGATATGCATCCATTTCTTTTAGGTTTTCAAATTTAGTAGCATATAGGGTTTTTAAAAATTTTCTTTTTATTTTTTTTTTTTTTTTTTTTGTCTAGGTAGGACTTAGTTTTAGTTTTTCTTTTCTTTTGTTTATTGTTGATTTGGAGGTGCTCTTTCTTTTGGTTAACTGGCCTAGCAGTCTGTCAATCTTGTTTATCTTTCCAAAGAACCAGCTCTTGGATTTGTTGATTCTTTGTATTATTTTCTTTAATTTCTTTAATTTCTGCCCTGATTTTTGTTATTTCTTCTTGTCTGCTGGGTTTGGATTTCGTTTGCTGTTGCTTTTCAAGTGTGTTGAGTTGCAACATTAAGTCATTTATTTGTGTTCTTTCCGATGTTTTGATGTAGGGACTTAGAGCTAAAAAATTCCCTCTGAGGACTGCTTTCAGCGTGTCCCAGAGGTTTGTTGTGTTGTATTGTCCTTTTCATTTAATTCCAGGAATACTTTTATTTCTTTCTTAATTTCTCTTTTGACACATTCATCATTCAGGAGTGTATGGTTTAATCTCCATGTGTTCATGTGGTGATTAGGGCTTCTTCCAGTGTTGATTGTAAGCTTTATTGCATTGTGGTCTGATAGACTGCATGGAATTATTTCAATATTTTTGTACATGTTGAGGTTTGTTTTGTGGCCTAGTATGTGGTAAATTTTTGAAAAATTTCCATGGGGTGCTGAGTAGAAAGTGTATTCTTTGGTGTTTGGGTGGAATAATCAAAAGATGTCTGTTAGGTCCATTTGATGTAAGGTATTGTAAAATTCAGATGTCTCTCTGTTATTTACCTGTCCTGTTTACCTATCTAATGGAGACAATGTGGTATTGACCCCCCCTACTATAAAGGAGT